TCATGGGGTTAAGCCTAGGCGGTACTGGGTGGGGCTTGAAGAGTTTGTTGACATCTTCTTCAGGTAGTGGAGGTTCGTCCTTAGCGGCCCTAGCTAAGTTCTCTTGTGTCCTCTTGGCCAACCAGCGGTGCTTGTCTTGTTGTTGACGCACCACCAGTTGTTGGTAGCGGTTGAACTTGATAGCTTCCTGGTTGAGTTCGTCGACGCGTTCCATTAGGCTACGGAGTTGTCCTGTGGAGGGAAAATGTTGATAATTACATTTCTTGTGTAATTTTACATTTGTTTTATAAGGTACCACTAGTGGAATTGGTGACTGCGAGGGGCGCGCGATCAGCGCATTCGTCAGAAGTAAACACAACATAGCAGAATGAGTTGAAAGCTTATTGAGACTTAGTAAATTAATTATTATGTTTTCGGCTTACTCGCGTCACTGTTTGACGAAGAACTCGACTAGTTTAGTTTCAGTAGCAGCGCGACAGTCGCGAGTCGCGGAATGCTGCTCATAAATATGAGCCATTAATCTAGCATGGCTTGAAACTAGTCGAGTTCCTCGTCAAACATTATAATTGATTTAGTATGTCTCACGAAAGTTTTCATATAAAAAAAATTAAAATGGTTTAGGAGTGTAAATTTTAATTTTATTGTTGGTAAAAGCTTTAGAGACTCGTTGTCACAATATAACACTACATTTTTATTTATGTTTACTTACTGTGTACTTTAGAGTGTGCAGTATTTGTGTTTTGGCCAGCAGACATTTTGTGTCACCAAGTCATGGAAAACATTTAAAAATAGCACAAACATACCTTCCAATACTGAAGCGGTTCCCAAATCCAGGAACTTGGATCCCTCCTCCTCAGGGATCATCTCCGACAGCTCAGACATCATGATGTTGGTGAGCGGAGAGTTACGGATAACAATGGGCACCTCAATGAACAGGCTCTCGTAGCCAATCTTCAAGTTACGCAGGGCTTCGGGTGTATAGTCGCCCTCTTTGTACATGGCGATGGCCTGGAAAAAGAATAATTATATTAAATAACATAGTTTTCAGTCAATAGTTTGGTTAGGGATGGTTACAAGTATATTGTATTACCAAGAATAGGGTAGATGACTAATTTTTATTAATATCGTATACGTATTTTTTATTTTTTTACAGAAACAAATACTTTCGACGATATATTCATTTGAAATGTCGCGTGACGTCACTTCTATGTACATTTTATACGTAGAAATGATGTTTTAGCCCCCACTCCTAAACTTTGATTTGTTATATCAAGTATAATTTTATTATACATCAAAGTAAAAAAATACGTGTCTAATATTTTTTCATTACCTAACTGACGGACTAATTAGGTTTTTAATTTTCATACCCCGTCATCATCCCTATTCAGAATTTATTATTGTTCATGTTAAAAATCTTTTCAGTATTACAATAGTGTTACAGACTTGACTATCTTTATAGCTTTTTAGATAAAAGATATATTAGTATATTACACAATAATTTCATGTCAAATGTAAGAAAATTATTATGTGTGAGGAGAGAAAGTAACAATATAGTGAAAGTCAAGGGGATTGAGAATAGGCGTGTCGACAGGGTAAAAAAATCAAAAAAGTAATTAGTCCGTCATTAAGATCGCACGAAAATATCAGACACGTATTTTTTGTTTTATCAAATTAACAGAAGAATACGTAGTTATTCCGCATTAAAGTTAGGGAGTGGGGGGTGTTGACGTCACACTTACGGAGAAATCGTACCTAAGTGTGACGTCACGCGTCATTTTAACTCAAAATATCTACATGATTTTTTGGATACGAGAAAAAAGAAAAAATACGTATCGAAGACTTAAAATATCTAAAAGACGGACAAAAAATTAAAAAATAGTCGCCATGCCTATTGGCAACATACCTACTAATGTCATGTTATAGAATAGAAGAACAGTACTTATGACCTGTTTATACTAGGTCCTAAGGATATATGTCTATGGATATACCATCGATTTTGGCTGGTCTAGAAGAAAATTTTGTGTTTTAGATTCATATATTGTCATATTAAGTACTTATCTTTAAAAACTATTCCATGACATTCATATAAAATGGATATATCCCACTAATATTATAAACGCTAAAGTTTCCGGGGATGTAGGTGTGTGTTTGTGTTGTTCATGATAAATTATGATCTAGAATTAGGAATAACACATAGGCTACAATTTATTCCACGGGAAACCGGGTGAATCCGCTAGTAGAAGCTAGTTTGTCATATAAATATCCGATATTTTGACATATATTGTAAATATCGCATATTTTCGAAACCTGGTTTAGACCATTTTTGTCAACTTACCTGAGGAGTCAAGCGGTAAGCCTTGAGTGTCAGGAAGCCGCGAGCAGACTTCTTGGTGTCATAGATTACCACCACACTCTCCTCAATGGAAGTCTGGTAGTGATACTGTGACTCCAAAAGCGACTGGCTCAGGAAGTTACCGACATCTGCGCTCTGGTACCTGGAAACAGGAAATTGGGTATTTAATTGCTAAGTTGTGACTGTAGTGTTATCTATATTACATGCAGTACATCTACTTCTCCCATTCATTCCAGCTGTTCACAGACAGTCTTGGTGCACTACTATCAGTGAAAATGTGCGAGCTTTCGAAAAGCAGCGACTAGATACATTGGACATAAAGCGCCAAATACGTAAAGACAGACCTAAACCTCCCTATACCTACTCGTATAACTCTGCCGGCCAGCATTACTGCTCTAGTTGTGATCGGATTTTCAAAACTAAACTCAGTCTGACCAGTCACATCAGGGCACACGACAGAAGATAGCTATTAAGGGTCGCCGTTATCGAAACCGGTAAGAAAGACTATATACCTATAGCTACTTTGAAAACTATAGTAGATCAGCATAAATAACTGGTATTCCTATGTACTTTTGTTTTCATTGTTGCTATTATATATTGTATACAATTTTGAATACTAGAAATAAGTAAGACCATCTATTGCCAATAATTACATTACATACAATTAATATATTTCAACAGTAATAGTCATTGATTTTAGAGAACATTGGATACTAGTCAAAATTATGATCTAAAAGCTTACCCTCTTCAGAATAAGAATAAAAAGAATCTTAACTCACCATCCAACATGGAAATGATCAACATTGACACGGCGGAGTCTCCTCATCATGTCAAGCTGGTACTCCTCCTCATCCATGGTGTCATCATGCTTCGGGAATGGGAAGCAGTTGGTGATCTCCAGGCGGTTCTCCACAACCAATCCAAGCAAGGCTCCTTGAGCCACTTCCATGTTGCTGCATGATTCCTCATGGCAGTGTTTCACTATTTTCATTACCGCCTGAAATATAGAATAATGAATTAGTATGAAATCCATATAAACTGCCATGTTGACTATGACTGCCTCGTTAGCCAAGTGCTCCCATATGTGACTGCCAGGTAAGGGGTCTTAGGGTCGATCCCGGGTCGGGCAAAGTATTACTGAGTTTTTTTTTTAATTCTTAGTGATAGCAAGGACTCCTGAATTCTGCTCGATATATATGGCAATAGGTTCACGCCCAATTACATAAGATTATAACATAAAATAGTGAAAAGTGAGTGTTACATGGTACTGTGGCCGGTGGCCTTAAGTGCCCTAATGTGCACCTCAGCCTACCCCTTCGGGGATAAAAGTTGTGATTTATATCCATATATATACATGATTACAAATCTGTAATACTAACAGAAGGCAGCATAACTTAATAAAACATCTAAAGGTCAACTATAACAACTATAACATACATAGTAGTAATTTTATTCCTAGCTAACAACTTATTAGGTGAACAATACATACAAAAACAAATTTGTGCACACCATTATTGGAGTTAGAGGTTGTGTGTTGTAGATTAGTTTATGACTATAATTAACTCATATGTAGATGGAGTCATTTAATCCATACAAAGAGGTTGAATGTGTCACTGTTATTTTGATGAAATGACGGACAGATCAACAGACAAACAGATCAACGTTTATAACTTTTATTTGCTTATTGTAATGCATATTTTCGAATGTTATTGCTGTTTGTAAACATAACATTTTAGAAGGATTATTTCTGTGTTTATATACTCAAATAACAGAGCATAAAGTATGTAAATTACGCAGTTTTTAGATGCCAATGTTACCAGCCAAAGTTACTCAATGTCATACAGTGAGATCATCTCTGTAATCGTCTGCCGGCAGTCGGGTCACTGAGGTAAACGTCCGAAAAGAGTGGATGACTCACGCTTCATTAAACTTTCACATTATCAACAGAAAATGACCCAAAAATTATAGCAACAAAGACATTTTACATTAAATAAGATAAAAACTGTGAAATAATAAGCTGTCCATCTTTGCATTAGACCAGAAAAAAAAAATTGTGGTTTTTTTTAAGATATCGATTAGATTTTCAGCAAACTAATCGTGAAGTTTACGTTCACAACATAACCTATATCCAAGTTTTTAAACTGCTAATCATGCAGTTTTAGTAAATAATATGTGTTTTATAATCGTAAATAATGCATCAGAACCACCAAAACGATTGATAATAACAAATAACAAATGCACAAACTTAGAAAACAGAGAATACATGACGTGTCGACGAGGAACAGCTTCGGAACGACTGATAAGTTCCGATGTTGACGATTTTAATAAAAAGTTGATACATAAATAATATTAAATGTTTACATACCAATCCATCGCATTGAACGTAAGTTATTGTAGGTTCTGTTTCAGGAACGCGTCTTGCAGGCCCACTACGGTTCGCCATTTTTGAGAAAGGTTAGTTTGATTTTGATAGCTATGACATATAAACTGACAATGTTACCAGCTGTAAAATACTAAAACTCTATAGCTCAATAAAACTTTGTGGTTTAACTGTCTATGGAAATTCTATATTCATAAATTGTCTTTGATATTATCAGCTGTCAACTGTCACTTTTATTATTGTCAGTCAACCAAAAGCAATAAAACATTTTATTAAAAAAAATCTTATCAAACAAAGATAAATAAATCAGTGTTTTCGTTGTTAAATAAACTATTTTGTTGTTAATGTATTTCATAGTGAACAGATCTGTTTTACAACGTAATATGTGCGACTACGCTTTAAGAAAGTGTACAATAGTTCTTCCGCCCTGATTTAAAATCGTTATTACTCCTACTTTCAAATCAATGAATCAAAGAAGTGATCATTAAATGATGAGTCAGCATAATTTCTGGAGAGGACTAACTCCATTAACAGTGCCGCCTTCACAGCAAGTACCAGAAAAAATTGTGAAACTGTGTGCTTTGGGCACAGACTTCATTGTGTTAGGAAACGACCATGGCCTCTACCACTGCGAAACTGTGGAAGATTCTTTGAATTTCAAAAAAATCAGCGGCATTTCTGCAATAGACATATCATATCACAATGATATCCTTTACATTATAGATGTACATGGACGGCTATACAAAACCAATGCTAGTTTTAAAAACAAAGAAGAAATTATTGTTAAAGAAGACGCTAAGTGTTGTCCACATGGTTTTAAAAGTTCCAGTTATAAAGTGAAGTTTAGAAATGTAGTGACCAGTGATTTTGGGCAGTTGTTCATAAGTAGTGATGGGCAGCTATGGGGCTCAGGTTGTATGCCCCAACTTTCCATGGACACTAGTAGTGTTAAGAAAATTCCATTTTTTGAAGGTAGAACTGTTTATAGTGCATCGGTTGGTCAGAACTTTGCTGCTGTGATAGCAAGGAAAAATGTGAGAAGGTCCGGCAACTATGACACAGAGAGTGACAATGATGATGAAGAAGTGTTTGCTTCAAATTGCTCACAGTGCCAGACAATAATAGGCCTAGCATCCCCTGCATCCGTGCCATCTCTATCAGAAACCTGCCCTTTAGGTGTTCAAATTAGTAAGTCTAGTGAAGATTCAAGTAGTACTACTGCCCCACAAACCGATGTACATGTTGATGCTCATAGTTTAACTGAAGATTCTAGTCCCTCATCTGAGGAATCAAAAATTGCAAGAACAAACTCACAAAAAAATGCTAATGTGGAAGCAGATCAAATGTCTCAAGATAACAAATCAACAGAAGATGCTGATGAGCAGACAGATAAAGAGAGTGAAACAAGTGAAGCTGATGGAGAAAAAATTAACAATATTTTTATTAATACTGATGCTGCTAGACAGTTCTTGAGTAGACAGCTCTCTTGGGTGTCAGCTGGTGAGGATTATTTAGTAGAATACACAGAAAAACCCACTAGAATAATTAAAGAGAATGTTTCAAACCTCACCAACTTTGTTTATGAAGGAGTAAAAACTGTTGGAGACAAAGTGGCAACACTGTCAAGACATGTTAGCGGTAGCAGTGATAATAATGATGCTGTGGAACTCCAAATGAGAATTAATAATGAAGAAATAAATTCCCTAATGTACAGCTGTACATCTAACTGCAATCTAGAAGATTTACACTTCTCCACGAGCACAATAAGCAGTGAAAAGGAGTTTGAAGCTGCAAGGAAAACAGAAAACCTCAAAAACATGTCTAAACTTGGTAAGAATATTTTAGCTACAGAATTATGGACCTGGGGAGACATATCATATGGACAGCTAGGAGTAGGAGACACAGTTAAAAGAATTAAACCAATGGTAGTAATGAGTTTGTCAGGTTTTGGACTACAGAAAGTATCCTGTGGTAAATGGCACTGTTCAGCTCTAACACTAGATGGAAGACTCTTCTTGTGGGGTTACAATCTGTTCCATCAAGTCAGCTTTGACAACAGAGAAGATAAAAGTGGTCCTAAGCAGTTCACAGAAAATTCTGACAGTGATAGAGTAAGAGATATGATAGCCACTGATCATCACACTTTAGCATACACTCACAATGAAAATATATTTTATATGGGAAAGCATACTGAAGGATACACTGATTCTATTGTCAACTTGAATGTCAGGGATGACCAAGAGGTCACTGAAAACCACACAGATTCAACTGTAAAAGTAGTTGAGCCTCCAAACTTTTCAACTAAGCCCCAAAACATGTGCTACCATTGGAGAATATTGTCTTCTGGCAACATCAGCTATTGCTCAATAGAAGAGTCGTCCAAATGTCCAGAATTCCAAGATTTGTCTATTGCTCAAAGATATCTAGAAGAAATGCTTTTGATATATCATAATCTTGTTAAACCTTTTCTCAAGAAAAGTAAAGCGGTAACTACACATTCCAATATTTACGAAACAGTGTGTGATATTTTTGGTGACATTTTAAACATTACTGCTCTGAATGTTCTCTCGATGTGGCAATACGCCGAGAAGCATATAAATGAATGTGATATTTCTTTAATTAAAAATTTAGAAGAGTTTATTTATTTGTACAGAAAGTATTATGTAGCTGTAAGCAATTTGATAGTAATCGGCGGTTTCGCGCAAATCAACAGTGTGGTCGATGTTCCGTCTAGTGTCTATAGTTTGTTTAGCGATCAACTCCCGACTAATAAACAGAAAAATAATAAGAAAACCTTAGAAGCCATAGTAGGACTGGCGTTCGTACAACCGTTAACAAGATTGAGCTCTTATAAATGCATAGCTCAATCGTTATTGAGGTATAAGACGAAAAGAAAAAAGCCTGACTCAAAGCCGAATATCGATGAGAGATTGAACAAAGTGATTGCTTCTCTTGACACTTTGATAGACGAACAAGAAAAGAAGCGAAAAGAAGCTGACGTCACAAAGTTATTTTGGGAGACAATAGGAAAAAGTATAGAGCAATACCGGACGCCTGAACGTCGTTTAGTGAGAGAATCGAAATCTCGACAGCTGAATTTAGTGAACCCAGGCCGATTTTCATCGCATTGGTTCGTCCTGTTCAACGATCTCTTTGTCCACATCAACGGCAGCACGCCTAACGTCCATCCTTTAGAGACGCTATGGGTAGAACCGGTACCAAATACAGATTCCCTGCAAAACGTAATCCAACTAACGACTCCCGAAGAAACGATATCAGTTGCAACGGCAACGGAACAGGAGAAAACAGAATGGACGCATTCATTCAACAATTCTATAAGACTTGTATTAAATAAGGACAACTTCAAACCACCCGCTGTGAGAACGGCAACACACACGTTCTCAAATAAAAATGCCTTTTATAAAGACGCAAAGTATACTGGCAGATGGCTGGATGGTAAACTCCATGGCAGTGGGAAAGTAGAATGGCCTGATGGCAAATTGTATGTTGGCCAATTCCAGCTAAATGCTTTATGTGGACACGGGAAGATGGAAGTACCCAGTATAGGTAAGAATTATATACTAACCATTACTAGTTAACATTGTATCTTTAACCTTGTTAATTAGATATCTAATACATATTTCTCGTCACTAAATGGCTTATAATTAATTCGTTTCGAAACCTTAATAGATCGTAATCACATGTCTAGAACGAGATAATATCTAAATAGCCGATCTACTTTCACATAAATACCAAAAAACAAAAGTCGGACTCAAGTCTTCCGTAGAAGGAATTTATTGATATGGGCCGAACAATCGACCATTCAATTAATATGTCTACCTACTATAAGATTGTTAAACGCGGTATTTCAATCCAAGTATATTTCCTTTTATTTGACGATTGAATGAGTACTTTGAAATTAATAAGAATTTTACGCGTCATTCCTTTTTGTAGGCGCGAATTCTCGTATTCATACGACTTAGTTATGAATGATTACGATTATATGAATCATTCTGTACTTATGTAAGTAGTAATACAATATATAGGTATTTATTACGTAGTGATACTATGTTTCCACACTACTGCTATGGCTTCGATTGTGCCTAATAAAAGCGGCTATTTATACGTATGATTCTAAGTAAACATTCAAAATAAAATGATCGTGAAGCGTGTGGTTTTGTGTAAGTAGCTAAAGTCCTAAAAGATATTGTGCTCAAGATACCTTTCGCATAACTGGCATAAAATCCATCCCACATACCTACTTAATCTTAATTCTTATACCTACATACATCTAAAGGACACATTTTATCTGTACCTAATTCCGTACGCTATCCGTATCTTTAGAAGCTTTGTCTTCCATTTCTTTACTTATACACAAAATCCCTTTGGTAATTGAAATTCCATTTGCGTAAATCCATATTGGCAATTTGAAATCATAATACTTACCTATTGTTCAGATTCAGTTCAGGTAGATACGTATCAGAAAAAATAATTTAATTAAGAACTTGTATCTAGAAAATAAATACCAATTTATTTCAATTGTTATAAATGAGAAATCATTTAACCAAAGTCCGGTTAGTAAAGCATATCAAAGACTGTATGTTATACAATAATATCTCAGTTGTTGTCCCCTAGGGAAAGACCCGTAGTGATTTATTAGGAATGCCAGTCAGGTTTCCTGGATTGTATAAGGGACTGGATTTCTCGCGCAGAATTTAAAAGATTTCTGTCTTGTAGGCCGCAATCCGAGTACTGCGATAAGCCCTAAAAAGTAGATTTTCGGGTGATAAAAGTACGTTTCAAATCGGTTCGTAGTTTCGGATAATATTCATGACAAATGCAAATGCAATGGGTATACCTACTTCTACCTAGAATAGATAAAGTAATACTTTAACAACAAGTACTTAAATATATAACTGTAAAAGAAGAATACAATATGTTATTCAATACAATGTTCTACTTGCATAATATTGAAACTTACTAAATAAAGAATTAGTGTCAAGGTGAGGATTGCGAAATTGGTCGAACCTTCACAATCTGTTAACTTTTTAAATAAATGTAGGTGGTCGGTCTCTGATCGGAGCAAATTATAACGTAACAGTACGATTTGTGCAGGACATAACTACAGAACTTCCTTTATTACACGAGTAATGAAACGTTGCGCTCGATTTAGTCCATAATATTCAACATCAGTACCCGTGATAACCCACCGCCTCCACTATATTAGAGGGTACTTAATTAACTGAGGGTTTTCCATAATCTCTACGCTGACGCTTGACAATTAAGAAAGCTCAGGTTTATTAGGGAAGCAGTACATCTCGGTCTCTGTCAACGTGTAGTCCCTTGGTGGCTCTTACGACAGCTGCGAGGTAGATTATGGGTGATGACAAATGTATTCTACTCTATTATCTGACAATTGGCGCAATTGCATAACTACGCAGTTCAACTGATAGGATAAACTGAGCTAATATACTAAACCTTTCCGCTATTTTTTTGCATTATAATTATCAGGTAGGAAATGAATCATACACATTCGCAGCATTTGTGATATCACCTAGAATATTAAGAATAATACAGTTAGTTAGAATAGTACAGCCATAGTTCAATTTTATTTCGTGACGTTTTGACGTGCATAAGTGCTATTTTTACTGACAGAAATAAATCATTTCGTTCCGTAAGAAATGTGATAAACCGCTTTTGTCGGATGTCTTACCCTTCCCAATAAACGTACATGTCTACTACATATTATTACTTTCTGCTGTACGTTGTTTGTCAGTTAGTAGCGGAAAAGTTTGATATACGTGATATTTGTATCCAATAAAATGTCAATAACATACCATCAGGGGTATTTATATATTGTAAAGCTGCTCCTGCCGATAACGAGCGGACAAGTTCAACTCAGATAATAAGCCCATAAATAAAACTAAAGAATTGATGATGAATTATATAAAATTCCCCTTAATTGTAAAGTCCCCATGGGAATCACTGTTAATTACGTTTTTTATATGATAGAAGTGGACCCCGCGATCTTTGTTTCGCCTTAAAAACTTTTTAGCGTATCTTTGTTATCTTATTCAACAGAAGAACCTTCACCTAACAATAACAAACCCTACCAAAAAATATGAAAAATCGGTTCAGCTGTTCTCGAGAATTACGCTTAGCAACACATTCAGCGATTCATTTTTATGTTATAGAAGATATTGCTGCCCCATTTTCCCCATAAGTACCTAAAATTGTATTCTGTGTCGTCAGCACAGTTACAAACATTTAGTCATGGTCATACTATACCCACAACAGTCTGAAAAAAATTTGCTTTGAATAGGAATGGGAACCGCAACACGAAGTTCAGTAACCACTTAGCACCTACGTCACTCAATCAGTCAATAATATAGGTCAATTTATACTTTAGATCATGGTTCAATTATTATTTGTGATTGACTATTTCTTTGTTTATCCTCAAAAGCTTTTTATGTTCTTTGTGTGGTTGGAACAAACCTCAAAATAACACACAATATGATTGAATTCATTATCATAATAACAACTGCCATTTGCGGGTTTTACGCGCTGCAAAAACGCCTCATTCTGTATTATCAATAGACTTCAAACTAACTTAAATATTTGCCAAAACAATAAGATAATGAATTTCCCAACCGCAAAAAAGCCCCATTGTATAACATTATCGATTTATAGACTAGGTATTGTTGCCAACAGCTTCGCCCGCGTTTCTCTGGGATAAAAGGTAGCCCTTGTGTTATTCCAGGTGATAATCTTTCAAACTGAAATTTCATCCTGTTCCCTTCAGCCGTTTCGACGGGAAAGACTAACAAACACAAACTTCCGCATTTATTATATTAGTAACATATCTACACCTACCTAAAGTAGGGCCCAAACAAAAGTTAAGCAATCTCTATCAATTTAATTCCAGGAGTCTACGAAGGCCAATGGAAAGATAACCTCCAAAATGGCTACGGTGTCATGAAATACACGACAGGTGACATTTACGAAGGTTATTTTAAGGATGGCAACCCACACGGACATGGTATTAAAAAGCAAGGAGATTTTACTTCGTCATCAGCGACCATTTATACAGGGGAGTGGGTCAATGGGGTCAAGCAAGGGTATGGAGTCATGGATGATATTGGAAAAGGGGAGAAGTACTTAGGAAATTGGAGCGATAATAAGAAACATGGGTGCGGTTTGATCGTGACCTTGGATGGGATTTATTATGAAGGTCTTTTCATGCAAGATGTGTTGACGGTTAGTGACAATTTCGTGTTCTTAAGACGGTTTAAAAGTATCTGAGGTTTGCATTCAGGGTACTTACTTTTCCCACCTTTTTATTAATCCACTGTACCAGGATAGGGCTATTTCTGAAAAATTAAATAGATTAATGTCATTAATTTATTCAGCATGTGCGGTTCCAAATAATTTTAAACCTTTCCGCAAAGATTTTAAAAGCTTTTTTACCTTATCGCCTTTCAGGGTCACGGAGTCATGGTATTTGAAGATGGAACGCACTACGAAGGCGAGTTTCGATCAGCTGGCGTGTTCTCAGGCAAGGGAATACTAACCTTCTCCAGTGGAGATAAAATCGAAGGTAGCTTGAGCGGCGCGTGGACTGAAGGCGTCAAGATTTCAAACGCTACCATGCAACTGAATGTTTCAAACCCAGTGTTGCCAACGAATTCTAAACCTAAGTGAGTAAAATTTAAGGTTGATATTACCTTGCATCCAAGAAATCAAGCTTGTTTTAATTATAATTCATACTTAGTATGTATTTGCGTGTATTAGGTACAAACTCTTGAATATTCTTTGTTGAAACAACTGCGATGATAATTATCTTATTTCAATAATGACAAGGCTATTTTATTTATACGCATGTTCTCAAATCATATTTGTTGGCAGTCAGTATTAGCAAGATTTCAAATATTATAATTCTTTGAAAATTAAGAGTCAATTCATCAAATAGTTCAACCAATATGGACGTGAATATCATGAAAATATTGTCAGTATCTGATGTAACAAAAATCCTAAACACCACTTTACAATTACTGCATTTTTAATTCTAACACTAACGCAATAAGATTCAAAATAGCTTAAATTCTTGGTACCGTTACCAACAGCAAAAAAAAAATACATAACTTTTTGTTTCAGTTCATTCGGAAAACTAAGTGTAGCTCCTAACCAAAAGTGGAATGCCCTCTTTCGTCAATGCTTCCAATGTCTTGGTGTCTCAGAATCCATTCTGACCCCAACCGGTAACCATTTTGCAAATGGCCCCTCCGGTCCATCCATAGACAACGTTAAAATCTGGCAGAATGTCGCCGTCGCCATATCCTGTTCGCATAAAGAAAGAAACAAAATGTCTATGAAGAAGAAAAGTAATGATTTAGAGAAGTCTGTGGACTGTTTGGAAGTTATTCCGCAGTTTGGACAGAAAACACTTAATTTGGAAAGTTATACGGAGTTGCAGCAATATTTGTATAATGTGAGTATTTTGACAGTTCTTTTTTTGTGATAGCAATACTTTTCTTTGGTGGGAAAAATATTTTGAATCTACCCGATCCAAAATCTTTTCATTGGCAAAATCAATTTTCCTCCGTTGTTTTATTATGAACTCTTAATAATTTTTATACCAAGAATAGGAAATTTTTTCACAGAAAATGCCCCTTAAAATTACTAAAAGCTATTATAATTCAATAAAAGTTACACTTATTACCGAGTAACATCTTCAGAACGGACAAGGTTTTATAACTTTTGTTTGATTCAATCAATTATGAAAACCTTTTTAAGCCTTTGACTGCCGACAGAGAACCGCTGAAGGCAAATCCTCCGCTAACGTAGGTCACCGGTGACCTACGCGGCGGGTAACGTGTTAAGAAATGATCTGACCACGACTTATCTTCCACCAACAGGCCTGCGAATCAACCCACCATCCACTAGGTCAGCTCGTCCTCGGCCTAACAAACGCCTTCAACACCACATACGGAGGAGTTCGAGTCCACCCCTTACTCCTGAGTCATGCTGTAAAGGAACTCAAGAGTATCACGGCTCGACTGTACCAGGTCGTAAGGCTCCTGTTCCCTGCCTTACCTCCTGAAGGTTCTGATGCTGTCCTGCCTTATAAGAAGAGGGAGGATGGTCAGGAAGAACATGCTGACAGTAATCCTATTGATGGGTGAGTTTTGTTTTTTTACTTGTTTATTTAATTCAAAAATTTTGTGCTGATATTTAACCCGCTCAACGCAGTAATGATTCATAACTTTTTGCTGCATTTTTTTTTGCAATGTACGTGTTTATTATCGGTTAATTATTTAGTGAAATTTTTCAATATGGAAGATTAATTTTAAATTCAGTCCAGTTTATACAAATTCCAATTTTTTTTACGTAAATGTGTCCACTTGTTCAGTTTTTATCACTACAGTGTATCGTTTCGGTAGAGAGACTAATAAATTAACTGCTAACTTGCTGAGACTAAAGGGATATCAAATAGATGTAGGTATATATACTATAAATAAATTACATATCCTACGAGCTTACGACTTGGTCACATCTTGCAAGATTAATTTTAAAATTCAGAGAAAATATTGAATTTAACTATTCATAATCCCTAATCGCATGTGCGACTGCCGGGCAAGGGGTCTCGGGTTCGATTCCCGGGTCGGGCAAAGTATTACTGGGTTTTTACAAAATTCTCAGTAGTATCACGGAGTCTGGAATTGTGCCCGGTATATGGCAATAGGCTCATCCCCTATTACATGGGACACATGACATAAATAGTGAAAAGTGGGTGTTACATTGTACAGTGCACCTCTGCCTAACCCTTCGGGGATAAAAGGCGTGATGTTATGTGATGTGATAATCCCTATTTTTAACCGAGTCCATATTGTAACGCCCCAGCGAGGTAGTGTCGGCGGCGTCCCTGCTGCAGCCGGCGCTGCTGCCGCGCGCGCACCCCGCGCTGTTCGTGCTGTACGCGCTGCACAACAAGAGGGAGGATGACCTCTACTGGAGACGACTACTCAAGTGGAACAGACAACCTGATCTCACGCTCATGGCGTTCTTGGGAATTGATCCGTGAGTATAAAGTAACTCTTTTGTAAAGTACGTTTAAAAAATTCGACTTCAAGCCCCTCTTTTGTTGAAGTCGGTTAATTAATATATTAATGTCGGAATACTCAAACGCTACTCAATTTTAAGTCGCGCTTAAATATAGTTCTGTCACTACAAATTCTTTGTAAAACTAGCAAACCCGGCGAACTCCGTTTCGCCACCAGATGGCTTCGTTTTATGCAACATTTCGTTTGGTGATTAAAAGATCAAGAAAATATATTATTTTGTTATATATTTTATAAACCTTACGGAGCCTGAGACCTTTCCAACGAACGTGGAAATCGGTTCGTGCGTTGTGGAGTTATGGCGTCAGGAAGGAAAACCCGACTTATTTTTATATAGTAGATGACAGAGATGTAAGATGACGTTTCAGTATTCCGGCATAAACCTTTCTCTTTAAGTGTGCCCAACACTTTTCTGAAAACCACACCAAAGTCGGTTTTACCTATTGCGAGATAATCGCACACAAACATAAGGACAAACTGAGAACCTCCTTTTTTGAAGTCGGTTAATTATTTGACGAGGAACTCTACTAGTTTCAAGCCATGCTAAGGGCTCATATTCATGAGCAGTATTCCGCGACCCGCGACGCGGCGCCTGTCACGCTGCTAATGAGCCTCTGACATGACTTGAATCTAGTCGAATTATTCGTAAAATAATTACTTGAGTAAATCGAAATACCTGTGTGTCATAGTATGCCATACTGTTGTTGTTTGTTAGTCGAAATGATTGGTCGTATTTTCATGATTCTAATGCTCCATTCAGTAGTAACAGGAACTTGGAACTATCACCAACATCTGACAACATGCTGACTGCTCATATATTCATATATCATAGTAGTAAAAATAGGCGTTAGATTTTAACATGTGCATTGTGCCCATCTTTTTTGCGAATTTAACGGCC